TACATCACTGTACGCAGAACTAGTTCGATTATTCCATGCCGCAATTCTTCCTGTGACATTCTTCAAAATAACTACTTGCTTGATAAACGATCAAATAAATGATAAAAGAAAAATGTTAATTTTGAGCGAAGAAACGCTTCTTGAAAGTGGGAAGTTATGTAAGAAAATTTGTCAAATTCATGTGCTACGAACTCGACGCAATGTCCGAACTTTCGGGGTTTGTTTACACTAAAAGTCACTTGACACTACACGTGAAATCTAAAGCCCAAAGGGTGAATTGGTGCATTAGCTGTGTTATTTTTCACTAATTACTCCGTGGAGTTGTAATCGGATGGTTGATTACGTTCACTCAGCTAAATCCACCAATCACAAATTTCCTAACTTCAAAATATTTTTGAATCAGTTGGCAAACATCGGTTTTTTTCGCATTTAGTGTGAACGTTTTCGTTTCCAGACGTAAACAGCTGACAGAGGACCGCTAAACACTCAATGATCGCCGTAGGCAGTACTATTTTCCGTTTACAGGCATGACGCTTTCTCCATTTTCAAACAACATCCTTTGTCGTACGCGATGATTCTGAGACATGCTGTCAAACTTCGTTAAATATCATTACATAAGTCTATTTGCGTACTCGCCACCTCGTCACGTCCTCAATTCTTGTTTGTTTTAAATTCAAATCCAGCCTTGCATTGAGCTATCTAACTTAAGAACGAGTTACCCGCATTCATTTGTAGAGGGAACTTCTTCAGTGACAGCATGAGAGCCAATATTCTCCAGTGCGGCTCAAGCAAGGTGGGCGAATAGGTCATTATATGGCACTCGGACCGAACTTGTTAATTTTGAATTTTTATTTTGAAATTGGCTTTCGCGACCAAAATACACGGTTTATGACCGTTTGATGTTGTTTGCACCTGTGATATCGGTGACTAATGTATTTTTTGAAAGTAATAATTATTGTTAGAAGCCTTACAACTCCTCTTCCGTTCATTTCTTCAGAGAAAAAACTGAATAAGTTTTAGTATAAATTGACTCGTATTAAAAAAAAAAATGAAAAGCCCAGAATATCGTTTAACTCGATACAGCCCATTTGAAGTAAAAAGGAGTATTAAAGGGGGCCAAGAAGACGAGATAGTTATAACTTTTTCGGTTTGTTTCTCAACGCTAAGAGGAAAAGTAGCAGCAGAATTTCGAGAAACCACATTAAAAATAAACCCAGGTGGCTTGCTAGACATCCATGGCGACTTAAAAGTGATCATTATAGTAAACTAAAGGCAAAACAGCCAATAATTATGTCGTTTGACTGAGCGGACCTGAGAAGTTTATTTGACAAATGAGTGAAAATATTCTAAAAACAAATTATTAAGCACAAAATAATTCATTTGAAAGAGTATAAAACCTAGATTATCCTAAATCA